AATATTTTTATTAGTTTGGCTCCAAAACCTGAACTCAGTCGATTATGAGTTTGGTTTTATATATTTTGCTAAGGAAATACTGTTGTGCTTAGTTATAGGGTGAACCACCACCAAATTCCACTAGTATTGTTAACTTATGAATATGCACAGATTATATTTTAAAAGACAAAATTGTGAATCTCATAATACATTTCTTTCCAGGGATTTTGGGTACAGGACTAGGGGCTATATTTGTATTTTGCACATCACTTAATTTTCAGTTCTATCTCTTTTAAAGAAATGGTGAGAAACCACTGTATACAAGAACAACCTCTGATCTATTCTGCTTGATTTCTCTGTCTCTGTCTCTCCATCTCTCTTATTTTTTGGCTATATTGGTGTTGTTGGTACACTATGACAGTGATGTTGCATGTTAACCTGGATTCGAATAACATTTTCTTATTTTCAAAAAGACTTTACAAAATAAGCTCTCACCTTTAGATCGTGTTCTTGATAAAATTAACATTTAAGTATGGTGTCTTGCTACCGATTGTAAAGAATGGGTTGCTTTTTTAAAATACTCAGCAAAATCATGACCGATTCACTTGTATTCCTGGAATGATTTTTGCCATATACTGACTTCTTTTTCCTCTCACGTAAATCGACGGTCTATTTTGAAAACTTTCTGTTCCAGTCACTGTTGTTATGATAACAGTTCAGGAGGAGCTCAGGGAAAAACAATTCTTTTCACAAACTTTTATATACACAGGTACTCCAGTAACTTTTGTATTGTATTATTTAACCATATTATTTCTCCATGGCAGCTTAAATGTTAGTTTTTTTGTGTCCTTACTTATTTACCTTTTCCATCTATAAAATATGCTACTGGTAAGCATTCTATCAGAAGAAAAGTCCAGATAAAAGAAGACCTCATCTAAAATATAACTCCAGTATTTACAGTCTAATCCATGATTTATGATCTTCATGTTATTTTTCTCTGTGTTTGGCTCTTTCCTCTAACTTCCTCCCCTCTTAGTGGGTAAATGCTGTCATAATTCTGAATTTAGTGTCATTTCCGTGGTCACGTTTGCCCACATGATAATGACACAGATAATGACATTAAAGTGATAATGACCTCCACATCCAGGCTTGCAAACCTCACTTTTGGTCTCCTCGTCTTCTCCTTAAACTTTTTTTTTTTATAAAGATTTTATTTATTTATTTGACAGAGAGAGACACAGCGAGAGAGGAAACACCAGCAGGGGGAGTGGGAGAGGGAGAAGCAGACTTTCCATGGAGCAGGGAGCCCGATGTGGGACTCGATCCCAGGACCCCGGGATCATGACCTGAGCCGGAGGCAGATGCTTAACGACTGAGCCACCCAAGGAGCCCCATCTCTTCCTTAAACTTTATCTTCTGTTCCACGACCAGGTAAACTGCTTTGATTCCCAGTATCTTTTATAGTAGTTACAAAATAGCAGACATGCTATTTCCTCTGCCCAATACCCATTTACCATCCCCAGGATGGTACAGTCATGTCAAGGCTGTGTAAGCATTAAATGTTATTTCAAGCAGCAACAAGTCTGTGGTTAGAAATATTCTGTACAGTAAGTGCAACTTTTACACACATAATGTGCACTGAGCTGCTGATGAAGTCTGACCAGAAGAGCCAGAGTCATATCTGAATCCAGACAGCCTTCTTGAAAAACTTTAATCTCCAAACTGAATGTAATTAATGGCCCCTGTCCATAATATATGCACATTATATATTACATATACATTATATATGTATATATCCTAATGTTTTTGAGCACTTATTAGATGTTAAAAGTGTTTATAAGTTATCTTTATGTTGATACATTAAACTATTCTTACAATATATTTCTAATAAACTCTTCCTTGCATTTTACCTTTTCTGATGATGAAATAAATATCAAAGAGGTTCTGTAACCCATTCAAGTTTACAGACCTAACAAAAAGAACCAGACTTACACACTTGAAACTACTGACTTTTGACACCTCACGTTTAACAGGCTGAAGAAGGGAAAAAAGTGATCATCTGATTGGGATCAATTAGAAATTGGTTTTGAATTCTAAACATTCTTTTTTAAAAATATTTTTTGCCTTTGTATTGTCTTCTCATTTAGCTATATGTTATTTTTCCAGATTCTCTGTGTGCCTTGTTCACATTAGCTTATTCCACTGATATCATAATTTCCATGGTACTGAGACAGTTGTGTTGCTTCAGACTTCATCTGGTTTTTAAGTGTCATTCAGTTTTTATACATCTACTTATCACCTGATTCCATTTCCATATTCACACATTCATTCATTAAACAGATAGTTATTTTTTAAAAATCTGCTGTGGTTTAGGCATGATTCTGGGAGCTGTAGATACAGAACTAAACCAAAGAGATACAATCCCCACTCTCATATTATTTTTTTCTGTCAAGCCTACCAGAGATAGGTAACGACAAGACAGGAGCTATTTTATTTTTTATTTTATTTTTTGAGGTTTTACTTATTAATTTGAGAGAAAGAGAGATAGTGAGAGAGAGCACGAGCAGGGAGGAGAGGGAGAAGCAGGCTCCCGGGTGAGCAGGGAACCTGATATGGGACTTGATCCCAGGACCCTGAGATCATGACCTGAGTCAAAGGCAGACACTTAACTGACTGAACCACCCAGGCATCACGACAGGAACTTTGGCTCAGGTCATGATCCCAGGACCCTGGGATCGAGTCCCATATTGGGCTCCTTGCTCAGCAGGGAGCCTGCTTCTCCCTCTGCCTGCTGCTCCCCCTGCTTGTGCTCTCTCTGACAAATAAATAAATAAAAATCTTAAAAAAAAATAAAAATAGGCCCATGCCTTTCACTGTCTTCAAGTTTTGGAAGTTTTGTCTACAACTCTAGAAGTTTTAAAACTGATAGAATATTGTCAAACTCCAGCTATTGTCAGTAACAGACTGTAACATCATACGAGTCTCCATTGGAGGGGTATTATCAGGAAATGATCAGAATAAGTTTAATTCTAGCTTGTTTCAGTTTTTTAATTTTCTATACCTTTGTTATGGACATTATTATTTAAAAAATAAACATTTATTTTCATAAAGTTTGAATCCATCTAGAGGAAACATCAGTAACACCAAAAATCAAAAGCACATCAATGGGCCACTTTTCATTCAAATGAGAGGGAGATACTAAACTCCTATCCAGGTCCTTGAGTTTCCTCATTACTTTACTGGTGTCCAGAAAAAAGACTGGTTCCAAATCTAAACAGTGATTTCAGTGACAAAAGCAAAGTGTGCTTTCCTCGCCCTCCTGCCCCTCTGTCCTCATTCTCTAGTTCCCATTCTCAGAGTAGTACTTGTTGCCCTCTGAACCAGCTCAGAATCTTGCTTATTTTTTTCTTATATATAGCTTAATGTCCCCTATACTGTCAGTATTTCCTGCAACTTCAAAGGTGTGATGAGAAATGGTATTCACACCAATGAGCATAAATCCAGCGTGACATCTCCTTTGAATGACTCCAGGACTGTTTGTTGTCCAGACAACTGTTGGTGGTTGCAGAAAGGGAAATGGACAGCAGGTGGGGAATAACCTTTACTATTTATCTGACATGCAGAAACCTTGCGATATCAGCAACTACAGAACTCCACATTCTGCCATGAAAGAGAGGAATTAGTGATCTTCCTATTTTGTCTTCTGTATGATATCTGCATTTATCTTGTCCTTTTCATCTGGCTACTACTAATAAAACACCATTTATCTTTTGTAGGTCAGCATAATTATTTTGTACGCTGTAATTTACACTCATTTTATTTAGTCATCCCCAAACCAATGAGTTAAACATATAATTTTAGAAATTATGAAATTCTGGCTGAGTAGTTGTAATTTATTTAATTCACCAAGCTAGAAAGTGGTAGAGCTTAGCTTTGAATCTAGATCTTTCATATTCCAATGCTAAGCCTATGAAGCTCTGTTGTTCATGCTGTTTTCTTTTTTTAAAGATTTTATTTATTTATTTGACAGAGAGAGACTCAGTGAGAGAGGGAACACAAGCAGGGGGAGTGGGAGAGGGAGAAGCAGGCTTCCCGCAGAGCAGGGAGCCCAATGTGGGGCTCGATCCCAGGACCCTGGGACCATGACCTGAGCCTAAGCCAGACGCTTAAAGACCGAGCCAGCCAGGTGCCCCTATTCATGCTGTTTTATTCACTATGTTGGCTGAGGCCAATTCAATTCAGTGAGTAGTTTGAATACAGAATTTTACCTGTAATTAGTGCATCTCATTTAAGGAGAAAAATGAGAAAAAAAATAGCTTAGACTCATTAATTATAAACTCACACAACAGATCAAATGGGAAGAAAAATCTTTTATCTCAAACTCTAGTTGGCTCAGTCAGAACTAACATGTTCTCATAAAAATGTTTTTATTCTTTTATTTGAACAATGTAGATATTAACCATGCAAACTGTCTTGATACATTATCATGTGCCATTCAATTATCTTTTAGTTTTAATGATATCTGAAAACAACAAAGGGAGGGGATGGAAAGAAAATTACAATATAAAATCATCCAAATTCATCTTTTACTTTTCCATTAAAAAAAAATGGACGTCAAATTTTATTGTTAGAAAACTGCTACTGGATGCCTGGGTAGCTCAGTTGGTTAAGCGTCTGTCTTCCGCTCAGGTAATGATCCCAAGGTTCTGGGATGAGTCCTATGTCGGGCTCCCTGCTCAGCAGGGAGTCTGCTCCTCCCCCTCCCATCTTGCCCCTCCCCCCCACTTGTGCTCTCTCTCTCTCTCAAATAAATAAAATCTAAAAAAAAACAAAAGAAAACTGCTACCATTTTAAACATAACTTGTAATCCTGAAATATGCTTTTCATTATTGTTAATTTTTTAACACAGTTTTAAACAAGTATTAGATCTACTATTAGAGTTCAGAGAAAATTTATTCAAATATATTTTATTTTTTTAAAGATTTATTTATTTATTTTAGAGAATGAGCAGGGGGAGGGGCAGAGGGAGAGGGAGAGACAATCCTCATGCAGACTCCCTGCTAAGTGTGGAGCCTGATTTGGGGCTCCATCCCAGGACCCTGAGATCATGACCTGAGCCAAAATCAAGAGTCAGTCATTCAAACCGATTGAGCATCCCAGGCATGCCTCGATTATATTTTAAAGTTTATTATTTATATTTGTAAAAAAATAAAGGGAAATAGAATGAAATAAAATTGTAAATGAAAAGAAGAAAATAGCTATGTAATAGTGATCATATTAAGATGAAATATCATACAGCACAAGGAAAATGCTAAAGACAGGACCAGAGGAGATAGAGATTAACAATCAACAAGACACTTTAGATATGAAGGTAAGTTAAAGAAAATCTGTGATTAATGAATCAGATCTGTTACTGATTCCAAATAATGACTACTCCATAATTCTTGTTTTAAATTAAACATTTTATTAGGTTTAATGTACAAATAATGTTACTTTTTGAATATATTTTATATGTGTGATGTGACTGAAACTAAGAATGTACTAAAATTAAAATTTTAATTAAAATTGAAATGAAACTGAAGTGTCCTGACTAGATAAGATGTGATAGATTTCTTTGAAATGCTTTAGATAACATATGTAAAAATGATGTATGTGAAGGAATGAAAGGACATACAACTCTTAGAGAAAATAGTGGAACAAGACAATGTAAAGATTTCAAATGGGTAAGTTCTTTTTTCTTTGAGAGAGCCTTTGAAACTACTTGTGGATCTCATACTGTTTTGGTTATCTATTGCTGTGTGTCAAACCACACCAAAGGTTAATGGCTTAGAGCAACAAATATTTTGTTTCTCATGTTTCTGTGGGTTGGCTGGGAAGCGCCCAGATGGGATAGTTCTTCTTTCTGTTCCATATAATGTTGGCCGGCTTCACTCATGGAGCTGCTATTGGGACGGAAGCCTCCATGATTCCATTAATTCTGTCTTGCCCTTCAGCTAAGATGGCTGCAAGGCTGAAGCCTGTCTCTCCTTGGTCTTTATTGTCAAAGACTTCTTTCCCTTCATGGCTATTCATCTTCTGTGACCCATCTCACCATGTGGCCTTGCCAGCATGATAACCCAGACTGCTTGGTAACTTAGTTCTTCACAAGAGAGAAAAAGATTCAGGGCCTCTTAAGAGCTTGGTTAGAGAACTTGAGAAAGAAACACCATGTCCACCACATTCTATTGGTCAAGGCAAGTAACGAGGTCAGTTCAGGTTTAAAATGGAAGGGAAGGGCACAAGGACATGAATTCAAGAAGATAGTATTTGGGGGTCACATTATAACCATCTGCTACACATATTAATCAATTATCAATTTAGTCTTGAGTCAATACATGTGAAAACTAACCATGAACGTCTGCTGTGGCCCATTGATATTAAGAGCCAGATATGTAAAGATAGTAAAACAGTCCAAGCCTGATGTTTACAATGTTATGGGTTCAGATTCTTTATAGAATTTAATTCAATCAAAAAGGACTTATTTTCACTGTATTGGTCTGGTTCAGAAAAAAAAAAAATCAAGCAAAATCTAGAAATAGGAATATAGTTTAAGCAGATCTACTAAATTGTGAGTATTAAAACAAATAAATATATAATTTCACTCATGTAGAATTTAAGAAACAAAGAAAAAGAACAAACAAAGAAAAAAAAAAGAGACAACAAAAAGAACAGATTCTTAAATATAGAGAACTGGTGGTTGCCAGTGGGGAGATGGGGGGGGGGGATGGGTGAAATAGGTGATGGGGATTAAGAGTACACTTACCATGAAGAGCACTAAGTAATGCATAGAATTGTTGAATCACTATATTGTACACCTGAAACTAATATAATATTGTACATTAACTATACTTCAATAAAAAATCATAGATTTTGAATGTTAGAATGGATGTTGATCATCTAAATAAGTTGCTTATAAGTTTTAAAAGTAGCAACCTTAGATCCTCCAAGGCAAGTGTGGGGAGAGTTAAATGGGAGGGTAGCCCTGGCTTCCGTAATAATACTTCTGGGTTTTGTGTATTTTATTGGTTTATATCTCAACTTAAAATTTTATTTATATAAAAGTTCTGCTCTAAAAGATAAAAGTATGAAAATCGCTGATTTAGATCTAAGCACTCTAGCAGTGCTGCAGTTGATACCTTGAGAGGTGGCTTGTTCTGAATCACGTCCTGGTTGGTTGTGCAACTGTGAAGTTCTGTCTTCTAAGTCCCCCGTTAGCATTTTCCTCACTGTTTCTTCCTGAATATAGATATGTTTAATTAATTTATTTTGATCCTGAACATGGAAAATTCTAATTATTTCCTTTTTCTCCTAAGAATTAACATTTTAACATATAAATAATTCATTAACTAGTTATTGCCTTAGTCCTTCAGGAATTTTCAAGGACCAAATCAGTGTTTTTATATATCAAAGGTTAAATTTGGAGCTAAAAAATATTCAAAATGACATAAATTGATCTCTGATAAGAAATCTCTAATAAATCCTAATTTGGTACCCCAAACATTTTATTGTAACCTTTTGTTGTGTTTCCCTAATTTTTAAATGCATATCTTTTGTATCTGTGGTGAAAGATGTTGTTCACTGTTGACTTTTATTCCCTTGGCATTAAGTATTTTTCTGAGTGTTAGCCTACCATAGGATGTTGTGAATCTAGCTTAGGTAAAATTCTTCCTGACATCTTCAACCTCTTTATAAACATATAAATCTGAATGAAATCAAGATTGCTTTCTCATAGCCCTATCTACAGTGGCTTTGATTGTACCCAGGCAAGCATGCCTCTCTATAGTATGAGCAGAGTCTTCTGCACCATGTACATCCTACTATCCCTGAGTTTCCTTGAGTTGTATCTTGTGTCTTTGTGGTGTTTGTCCTGTTTCATTACTGTTAGTGCCCAACATGGGACAGAAACTACTCTTTTCTGATATATGGTCTTTTGGAAGTGGAACAAGTGTTTTGCATCCACTTTGGAAGTGGGAGTCATCTCCTTTTGGGGGGAAAAGTGGTGAGCATTCAGTGGAATGGGATGGTCAATGATAGGATGATTCTAGGAATATAACTTGGGGCTACAAATCATGAAGCAGGGGATCTACTGAAAAAAAGTAGAGATCCAAGATAACAAATTTGCTTGAAATCTCAGCTATTGAAACAGTTGGAAGAATCAACAGGGCACCTGGGTGGCTCACTCGGTTAAGTGAGAAGCACTTCTGGGCTTAGATTGTACATTTCCTAGTAACAGCTGCAGGCTAATGTCAATAAAAGAGCCAAATGAGTACTTACACTGCAACTGTGGAGGCCACAAGCATTCAGTGCTCCTTCCCCTGCTGCATGGTTTGCTCATTCACCTCTTTTCTTTTTCATTTTTCTTTTTTTTTTTTCAAGTAGGCTCACACTCAGGTGTGGAGCCCAATGGGGGCTTGAGCTTGCAACCCTGATCAAGACCTGAGCTGAGATCAAGAGTTGGCTGCCTAACTGACTGAACCACCCAGGTGTCCCTTCACTCACTCACCTCTTTCCTGTCTGCTCAGTTATCTTTTTCACAGTGAGGCTTTCCTTCATCATCTGCTTTAAAATTTTATCATCACACTTCACAGCTGTCCCAGCTTTTCAAGTCCTCCTTCTTTGTTTTATATTTCTCCATCTGATAAACTCTTTTTACATATGTGTGGTCTTATTGCTAGATTCCTGTAATAGAGTTAAAATACCACAAAACACAGATTGTTTTTTCTTTTGTGGGTTATTGTATTCAAAGCATCCAAAAGAGTGTCTGGCACTTAGCAGCTACCCAGGAATATTCCTTAAGTAAAGACATTGAGTTTAGCTTGAAATATCTTCAAAGGAAGTATTGATGCTTGTTAACATAAGAGTTGGGGAAAATCTTAATAATTTCAATATGAACTATCTTTAAAATAGTATTTTTTTCAAAATATTGGCTTTAACATATTCAGGTATCAATTTACTTTTTCATCAAAGTTCTTCCTACTCTAGCCATAAAAATTTATAATTCTCATATAATAGAAAATGTGATTCTGTTCTCTATTTACTGTTGAAGAGGAAGAATGAAACTCATTCAGATTTAACTAATGGCAATTTCAAAACACTTAGTATTTCACTTTAATGATACAACAAGGCAAATAGCCAAGATATGATACTCTTCTGGGATACCTCAGCCTATTGATCAACATTCTTACAGTGTTCATAGTGGAATAACAACACTCAACACTCACTTTCTTCTCATGCCAGTCACTGCAAAGACTAAGAGTATCAACTGCATTTAAATGACTTGGGAGAAAGTAATCAGGATACAGGCTATTTCTGTTCCTTTTTTTTAATTTCCAGCAATCTGAAGGTGACTATAACCGGGAAAAATTCATGTTAAACAAGTAAATTGTAAAATGTAGTATATGTAATATAAAAATTTTTGATTATCTTAAGGTTACAGGAAAATAAAAACAAAGTCTTTATCACTGACAAAGAAGGTTTATCTCAACTGAGACAATTTATATTTTCTACTTCATGTCATGAAGCTGACTTACCAGACCTAACTCTATTATCTCATAGCATGTTGGATGCACCCTTCTTATGTTACTAAAAAATTGAGTTACAATTTTCTAAACTTTTCACTAGGCAGAGATCTTAAAATTAGAGATAACATTTATTCTCATCATTCTACCTGTTAGTGTCTGCCTGGAACATTGTAAACATGATATTCACATACAGTGAATAGTAAATATATTTAATTGCTACTGACAAGTTATAATGTTTACTTTGCACTTATATCTTTCTGGTGAAAGATTTATCACCTCTCCCACCACACACACACACACACACACACACACACACACACACAGAATAGAAAGAGGGAGCAGGGTAAAATCTTTTTTTTTTTTTCCTATGAAGTCTAACTGCAAACAAACCTAAAAAATTTTAAAAAGAAGCATCCACTTTGGTACCAATATCCTCTTAAAGTGAATTATTTTATATCTGAAAGTATCATTAAATTCACAAATAGATATTAGTGTATATAGACAGATTAAAAAATATGTTATATTTTTTAGAAGACAGAAAGAATGAAAACAGGCAAACCAGGAAGCAAAGCATATAACTGAAAGCTATTAGAGGTTATACAAAATTTTGGTGACAATCTAGTTTAATGATCTGTTGAAATCTAGGTTTTATCTTCATAAAAATAAATGGTACATAGTCTAGTATGTGTGCATGCATATATTTACATATTTATAATTTATTAAATATTATGTGTATTATTAAACACTAAATATATTTTTTAAAACATTTAATTTATTTATTTGAGAGAAAGAGAGCACAGACAGGGGTGGGGGAAGGGACAGAGGGAGAGGGAGAAGCTGACTCCCCACTGAGCAGGGAGTCAAATGCGGGGCTAAATCCCAGGACCTTGGGATCATGACTTGAGCTGAAGGCAGACATTTAACCGACCAAACCACCCAGGTGCCCTTAAACATTAAATATTTATATATTTATAGATATATACAGATATATGTTATTATTATTTGGAAAATATGCATCCAATACATCTATGGTTATTTATGTATCTAAAAATTGAAGATTCAAAATTACTAGGACAATGAAGGACAAATAATATACATCATCTTACAGTTATGAAAAGTGACTCTCTATATTTTGATCTATTAGAGGTAGAAAAAGCTTAGTGAGTCTCGGCTCAGCTGTTGCTAGCTAGTTGACTTAAAGCATACTTCCCTTGATAATCCTCTGTGTTTTCAACTATATAACTTAAGAAATAATGCTAAATAAAGTAAATTATGCAAAAGATCTACCACAAAGCCTGGCATATAGTAAACTGAAAAATATTTAACTGCTTTAAAGATAATTATTAGATATGAAAATTATAATATATTATGAAAATTGTGTGAATTTAAAGGAAAATAAAGTGTAAGGTATCATTATCATTGGCGTTATTACAGAATGAGAAAAATGATACAAATGGAAAAACTAGAACGTTAGAAATGTTGGAAACTGAGTCTAATAGCTTCTGTTAATAGTTTCTGTGCCACCCTCGTAACTTTTTTCTTTCCTTCCCTCTTTCCTTTTCTCCTTCCTTCTTTTTTCTTTTCTTTCTTTTTTCTTCTTTTTCTTTCTTTCTTTCTTTCTTTCTTTCTTTCTTTCTTTCTTTCTTTCTTTCTCTCTCTCTTTCTTCTTTCTTTTTTCTTTCTTCTCTCCTTTCCTTCTTTCTCTCCTTTTCTTGCCAAATCTATGTACCACCTAAACGATATATTTGTTTTTGTATAACTTGATAAAATCACAAATAAATAAATAAAAGACTACTTCTCTACTAAAGAATTAGAGACACATTATAACATTTTTAAGAATAATCCTTTATGGGGCGCCTGGGTGGCTCAGATGGTTAAGTGTCTGCCTTCGGCTCAGGTCATGATCCCAGGGTCCTGGGATCGAGCCCCACATCGGGCTCCTGGCTCAGCAGGGAGCCTGCTTCTCCCTCTCCCTCTGCCTCTCTCCCTGCTCATGCTCTCTCTCTCTCTCTGTATCTCTGTGTCTCAAATGAATAAATAAAATCTTTAAGAAAAAAAGAATAATCCTTTATATGCCTCTTTTCCTTCAAATTTAGTTCACGCTACTGGATTTTGGAAATGTATAGGTTAATTGATCTTCACTGGACAAGAGATCAGTATGAAAACTAAAAGGTGAGTTTTCCAGACTGATAGGCTTTTACTGATCTGAGTAACCTCCTGTTTGGTACTTATGTGTCTTACTATTCTTAGGGAATTCTTTTACTTCCCCTATTTTTTCTTTATGCTCAAGTTTCATCAAGAGATACTGATCATAGAGTTTTATCATGCATGTATTTTTGTCTAAAGTCAAGAAAGAGGCTCTGTGCCGTTCCACAGATATTTAGTAAAAATACTTCAGTTTTAGACTTTAGGAAGTAAACAATGTGTCACTTTGGGGTGTTATTTCAGAGTGAGAACCTAAAGACCCACCACCAGCTCACCGCAGACAAACTGTTTCCATCTACATGGGGACTGACAAGCCACAGCTGCAGCCAACAAGGTCTTTGCGACTCTTACATGAGGTCTTACACTCTACCGAAGTCTCCTGCGATGGGACTTAGTAATTAGAAGACATATGCTTTAAAGGCTGCGATTAAGAAATTTTGAAACAAATTGTACGTTTTTTTTCCCCCATTCTGGTTTTATAAACCCCTCTCTGCCCTTAATAATCAGAGATTGCCAATGTTTTATCCAAAATCTATGTTACCGATTAGGACATTATTTTGAATGCTTCTTTTCCCGTGTAGACATCTTACTTTATAAAACAGCTATTAGGGAGGTTCAAGTGCTGAGAAAAATCTAAATATACCCCAAACCTTCACATTATTATTTTTTCTTTCATCTGAATCTGAATAAGCTCTTCCTGAGCCAGATGCAGAGTTGATTGTTTCTTTGGTTTTGTTGCTTGTTTTTCTACTTCTTTTGATGGGTAGGAGTTTCCTGGTACTTTTAATTTCATGGGAAAAAAGGGAAACATTCTTGTTTAACATCTTTGGTTAATATCCATGATTGGATTTAAATGGTCATTTAAATCACAACTGTAAAATGATACCCTACTTGTCAAAACAACAGTGCAGTATCTAAAACCCATAATATAATTGCACAGATATTGGGTAAAAAACCCGAGATCAAATTAAAACAAGGTATTGAATAAGAACTGAAAAATCAGCATTTCTACTAATGGCAAATATTTCCTCACTTGATGGAGCTACAAAATGATCATCTCAACTCCTTAGAGAAGGCCAGAGCAAGATCCTGTAAGAAACAATTCTGGTCAACTCTTAGGAAAGCTCTATTGGTGGAACTGAATGACCAATAAGAATCTGGTTACTCAATTTAAAGTGATGTCAGGATCTTTAACTCTGGGACAAGAATATTCAAAGGTGGGAAAAATTTAAATGATTTCTTATTGCTATGTTTACTTGTATAATCTTTACATTAAAGAAAGTATTGGATAAAACAGAATTTCTGATGTATTAACAAATTTCTACATCAATGAAACAGTAGAGTGCTCAAATATTTTACTAGAATTAAATGTACTGATACTGGTAAATGTGTACTCATACACTTAATGAGACATTCAATTAAACAGTAGAATAGACATGTGATATTTGCTCAATAAATGTTAAATTTTTCCCCCACTAAATCAACTTATTAAAATGAAAATTGGTAAACAAAGGAAAAGTTCCAGTCATTTACTTTGTCTTTTCTTTAACAATCAAACTTCAGAGTAACAAAATAAATGGTGGTAATTACTTTCTAAAATATAAAAACAGAGATTATATGATAGTGGTTACACAAATTTATACACAAGACAAAACTGCATAAAACTATACACATACACACACACTCAAGCAAATAAGTGCATATAAAGCTGGTGAAATCTGAATAGTTTATGGATTGTATGAATGTCAATGTCATGGATTTGATATTATACTCTAATTGTGTAAGATATTACCATGGGGAAAACTGAATGAAGGGTACCAGGGAACTACCTGTACTTATTAATTTTGCACTTTACATCAATCTATAAGCATTGCAATATAAAAAGTGAAAAAAAAAAGAGGTTAACAGAAGATAGTGCATTCTCTTGGTATTAGCACTAGCTATCTTCTTTTTACTTTCTTATGTCTCAACTACACTATCCTCTCTCTAAAGTCAAATTCTGTTATATTCTTTTTTTTTTTTAAGATTTTATTTATTTATTTGAGAGAGAGAGTGAGAGAGAGAGAAAGAGCACAAGAGGGGGGAGCGGGAGAGGGAGAAGCAGACTCCCTGCTGAGCAGGTAGCCCGATGCGGGACTCGATCCCGGGACTCCAGGATCATGACCTGAGCCGAAGGCAGTCGCTTAAGCAACTGAGCCACCCAGGCGCCCTGTTATATTCTTTAACAAAATATTCATTCCACCTCAGAAATAGTAAATTCATGGCACCTGGGTGGCTCAGTAGGTTAAGCACCTGACTCTTGATCTCAGCCCAGGTCTTGATCTCAGGGTCATGAGTTCGAGCCCCACACTGGGTGTAGAGCCTACTTAAAAAAAATAGTAAATTCAGAGATGGTGGATGTGCTAAATGTTTTCAAATCAAAGCTCATGGAAGTCATTGCTCATCTTTATAACACTGTTTCTTGATGAATCTGGACTTGAATTGATTATAATTGGTACACAATAAGAAGTTCACTCTTTTTCTGTGCTTCAAAATAAAGTTTTACATGTTGATCAGTGGTAGACTCATTCATAAAGACCTATTTTAAGAAAAAAATAAAGGAAATAAAACAAACAAACAAACAAAAACTAAAAATTATTGAAAGGGGTCAACAATTTCCCAAAGTTCATCTTTCTAGAAATTTAGTGCTTTAGATTTCCTTTAGATGATCATTACTATTCATTTTGTTTTGAGTAAAGTTGACCCCACTCCAGTGTCCAAATTAGACCCCAACTGATTCAAACCAATGTGTCTTATCCACTAGCCACAGTAATTTGCACATGGCCTAGTCAGTTTCAACAAGATGGAGAGGGATCCTTGGATGACTCTCTCAAGAATGTGAGGAAAATAAGCTAGAAACAGAAGAGTTTATTTTATGTTGTTCTAGTTATATAAATTTAAGAAATGGGCAAAACTAAATTATGGTTTGCATTTGAGGTTAAGATAGTTTTGGAGTCAAGATGGTGGTGATATCCGGAAGGAGAAAGAGAGTAGTAGTACTAGTTTAAGTGAGGAAAGATCTTGGGGGTGCTGGAAATGTTCTATTTCTTGATGGGGGTGGTAGTTGCAGGTCTTGTCTTTGATAATTCGTTAGAATTTTTGCTTTTATAACTTTTCAAAATGTATATTTTATTTAAAAAGATGGGAAGAAAATATGTGTGTTGAATTTTTTCCATCTTATTTAGGTATTGGTTTGAGGCATGTCTGTTATCTACTCTCACTGTAACCACAGTTCTGTATTTCCAAGTCCAATTTATCCTACAAGCTCATGCTCAAATTTCAATTTTAATATGAGTCCTTTTTCTTTCTGAAGTCATCTCTCCCTCCTCTGTTTCTCTGTTCTGTTCCAGAGTGGATTGGGAATAGATTCAAGGGCTACCTCCTTTGTAATGAAGCACAAATGAGAGAGAGCTGGGGTCTCCTGTGCTTGAGGATTGATTGAATTGGTGTATTGTTATATTTTAGAGTTTTAGGGTATTTCAGTTAGAGAGTAGAGATGAATCAATATTTTCTCAAACTGAGTGTCACACATTTTCCTTTGGGTGACATTGAAAAACACTTCAAGATTAAGCTGAATGTTTTTGATTTGATTGTTAGGTTATTGAATGAACATTTGAACAAATTATCTGGTTGTTCCTTGTACCTTAAAATAATTATTATAAAACTGACATAAGGTGCCTTACCAAATTATGTGAAGAGCATAAAATTCAGGTTTCTGGGAAAAGGTTAAGAAACTCTTATGAAAATTTACAATGAATAAAAATAGACCATTATGAAATATTAAAGTACAGACACCTGTGTTCCTATGAAAATAAATTGTTTTAATTATGAATAAAAATACATATTCTTACCAGGTGATGTTTCATTTAAATAAAGTGATTAGGTTCATGTTTCATACTTTAGGTGATTGGAGATAAAATAGGTAATCATAATTCTAACATGTGGCTTTAAAATAAAGTAGAATTTCATTTTATCCATTGTTTTATTCAACAACCAATTAAACTTGTTTTGAATCATAACAATTTTAACTCATTTATACCATTTGTTTTAAAATAATGGGGCTTTTTTGCATCTCTGAAATAAGATGTGGAGCCATATTAGAGGTATGAACATAAAAACTAGTCCATCCTTTTAAGAAAAAAAAGTTCTTGCTATGGCTGCATTTAAAACTTTTGCTGACTTTAGAAACTATAAAAAAAAAAAGAAGATAGCAAGAAGGGAAAAATGAAGGGGGGGAAATCGGAGGTGGAGACGAACCATGAGAGACTATGGACTCTGAGAAACAAACTGAGGGTTCTAGAGGGGAAGGGTGTGGGGGGATGGGTTAATCTGGTGATGGGTATTAAAGAGGACACGTACTGAATGGAGCACTGGGTGTTATATGCAAACAATGAATCATGGAACTACATCAAAAACTAATGATGTAATTTATGGTGATTAACATACCATAATAAAAAAAATTGTGGTAAAAAAAAACTAATGGTGTAATGTATGGTGATTAACATAACATAATAAAATTTTAAAAAATAAACTATAGACATACGCACATGCTTTATTCACAAAGTTTCATTAAATTCAAATGTCCCAAGAGGGGACATCTAATTACTTAGGAAGAAAGTGTTGCTTAAGACATTTATGTTCTGATGTCTCCTAAGATGAGTACAGTTTGGTGGTGATTTATAAACCATAAGTGAATGGGCAAAAAGAGAGGGAGAGGAAGAGGGAGAGAAATGAGTCATGTGATTACTTGCTTATTATAAGAGAAAATCATGTTGGACATGAGGTTAAATAGCGGAGTCTGATGGCATTCATTTACTTTACTCAAAATGCAATGTGCCCAGATTTGCATAGGCAAAGATAAATCTGTGACTCTTTGTGTAATTGGGCCTGCAGGGACTGGGATTTATTTTATATGTTCCACTGTGTTTCTAACCAGGGCTTTATGAACTCCCTACCATCTTAGGTCAGACATTCACTTAGTACTTGGTTTTGGGAGAATGGCTCCACTTTCTCCCATAATTTGTTAAGTGTCAGGTAGTTCTGGTGCTCTTCTGAAGTCTTTTTTTGAGTTTAACCTCAGGTAACACCAAGGCAGTTTTGTAAAATTGCCCTCAAGGTAGAGCCTCAGGGTGTGAAATTTGAGACAAGAAAACAAAGGAAGCAGGATAACAATTTTCTTTTTTTTTAAGATTTTATTTATTTGACAGAGAGACACACAGTGAGAGAGGGAACACAAGCAGGGGGAGTGGGAGAGGGAGAAGCAGGCTTCCCGCGGAGCAGGGAGCCCGATGTGGGGCTCGATCCCAGGACCCTGGAATCATGACCTGAGCCGAAGGCAGATGCTTAATGACTGAGCCACCCAGGTGCCCCCAGGATAACAATTTAACAGGATAAAAAAAATCTACCTAGATTCCCAGTAAACTCAAAGGATGAAAACCATACATGTCCTGTTTTCCAAATGATGTTTTAAGATGACTTTGATATTCACATATTAAAAAAAAAAATCCCACTCATTTTCTTTTATGATAGTCAGAGGGTTTGCATTATACATGTACTGTGGTAATTTCCTGTGTTGTGGTTCCTGGAACATTTTAGAAGCTAGAGACTTTACTGCTTCTTGTTCATATGATACATTCACCAATAGAAGATTCAAGAACATTGTTCAAATAAATAATTTTTCTCTTTTTTTCTTTTAAATTTCTTTCTGCGTGACTTCTGGATTGTTTAGCTTCCGGCTCAGCTCTGTGAACCAACACAACACCATCCTTCTTGGTTAAGCACACATTGTGCCTTGTCGGCATCGATACTGGATCCTTTCTCATGGCAGGTATGTGAGGCCCGAGTTATAAAATTTAAAAAAATGAAATGAAACAGAAAAGGCATCTCAGGGATATGGCTAATTTCAGGGCAGTGTTTTATAGGAAAAAGTAGACATTTTTAGGCTTTCTATGTATCAGCACTTTCCACTTCTGATTATCTGTAACTTAGAAAAGATTTTGTGAAGATTTTCCAGCAGGTTTAAAGAGTGGCTTCTGACGGGGATAGCTCTAAACTCTGAATGTAAACTGAGTTTACCAGGTTAAATTATGAGCCACATAATGTTAGCACCAAAGTAAATAGAGAATGCCAAGTATTAGTGACAATGCTTACAAGTGTTTTTTAAAAATTTACTATTTGTGCTGTGACACCCCAAATCACCTAGATTAATAGTTTGACACATTGGGCTGTTAGTGACTCTTTGGGAGTATGCTAATGTTAATGCCAAATCTCCTAACATTAAATTATTTTAGGGTAAATGCCAATAAGCAGTAATTTTTGGTATGAAAAAGCATAATGTTCTTGTAAAAAATGGTTGCTTATATATCATAATTTAATGTGCTGTGAAATGAATTCAGGTCCCCAAGGTATTACCCATACATCACACCAGGTCCGGAGTGCTCCTATGTCTTATCTTCCCTATAAAAAAAACCTCTACAAAACTACAAGCAGCCAGATATTTCTTAGGTAGAGAATGCACTAAGATGACTAGAAGGGCACATTTCCAAGTATACTATTGTGCCAATGGCAGAATTTGCTAAGTAAAAGACTCTGGGTAGACAAACTTTCATTTGATTTCTGACTTGGATACTTACTAGCTTTGGTATCTGGAGAAAATAACATTATTAATGGACCTTAAGTTTTCTTTTTTTAAAATTTTATTTTATTTTGTTATGTTAGTCACCATACATCATTAGTTTTTGATGTAGTGACCTTAAGTTTTCTTATCTACTTAATGGGAATCATATTATCTTGTGATTCTTGTTGAGAAAATAAATACCTGTTACGTAAGCCCATAAAACACAACCTGATGCCTGCTGATGTCTTCTTACTCCAGATCCCTAAGCTTCTTTGTGGAATTAAGAAATAAATGGTAAGTCCACTTTACGGGGACAGGACTTGTAAAGGAGAAAAGTTATAGATAATCTCAGTAATGAATAAATTACACCACATAAAAATTTGGGTATTGGGGTGAGTTCTGATTGGAATATTTTCATTTTCCAGTGTTTCATTGGCAAGATGATTGGGTTATCAAATCAAAGAATGTTTTAGATTCTCTCTCACCATGTTGCTTTTAAGATCTTCAGCTCCTGCCTTTGTTCTTTAAATAACCACTGTATCTCTCTTTCACTACAGCTTCTCAGACCACTTCATGGAATTTGATTTCTGGGATCTTAGGAGTAATCTGCCTTTTTTTGATGGCTACTATGGGAATTTTGTTGAAAGATTGTAAGTTTTTCTAGGCAAGTTTGTATAAAGACCATAACTGTGGTGAAACCATTTAATGCAAAGGTTTCATTTTATTAATGTGTAGTATTTTATTATTTCATAAGCTTGTATCTAATGAAGTAAATTTTTAATCATTTCTTACAGTATATCCTAAACACAGTATTCAGCCAACATTGTCTCCAGATGCAATCACAGAACTCCAGAAAGGTAGGTTCCATACTTTGGAAAACCTTAGTGTTGGTAAAGGATGAAATAGACAGTTTCTTGGTTTTCTCACACAGAGCATAATGGAATAGTACACTTAGTAATGAAAGTTTACCTACCAATTGTAGGATAGTAACATTTCATTATTCTCTAATGTAAAAAGCATTAAATTACATTGAACATGGATCATTTACATATTTAAGTCATAAGGAAAATATTAGCCTGAAATGACATTTTTTTCCTATATGAGTGCTCATGTTTAAATCACAAATATAAGTTACAGTAAATACTATGGTTAATCCTAATTACCTGCTGGTTTGCTCATAGCTCATACTTTTATATCTCTTTACCTTTGCTTCTGCTTTTTGCATGTCTCAGAATATAGTGCACAGATTTCTGTTATTTTACACCCTACTTATCCAGTGAAAGCCAGCTCAAAGTCCAATTTTTAAGGTATTTTTTGCAAATGGTCTCCAAATTGTCTCGCCATCTTCTGTGATCATATTTATTTATCTTTTTCCCCTTTGCATTTTTTCCATCCGTATTGAGATATTATTGACATATAATGCTGTGTAAGTTTAAAGTAATCAACAGGTTGATTTGATACACTTATATGTTGCAATATGATTACTACCATAACATTTACTAATACCTCTATCATGTCACATGATTACCATTTCTTTTTTTATGGTGAGAGCATTCAAGATCTACTTTTTTAGCAACTTGCAGTGTATATTACAGTATTGCTAACTATAATCATAACTGTGTGCATTAGATCCCCAGAACTTATTCACCTTCTAACTGGAAGTTTGTCCCCTTTGACCAACATCTCTTCATTTACCCCACTCTCCAGCTCCTAGTAACCACCATTCCACCCTACACTTCAGAACCATTCACTTGACAAAGATTTGAGTGCCTACCATGTGTCTTGACTTTTATCACTGAGGATAGTAAATGTTCAAGACCCATCACTGGTAAACTGTAGTATTAGACTTCAAGCTAATTGTTTTATTTATCTCTATTTTGTAAATAAAATATCCAAACATCAGAATTCTCCAATTTGTGCTATATTCTTTTCTGACTCGGGAAATATGCTAAAATATTTCCCTTTAAATATCTCTTTAATCTAGTTTATTCCTATTTACACAACAGAGCTCAATTTGGGGTCACTTCCTCAAAAAGGTTCTTTAGCCACCCTCCAATTTATACTCTGCTACCCTATGGTTTAACATACTGACTTATTCTTGTGTATACTTACCAAAATTATCATTAAATATAATAGATAAATGATTGGAAATTATATAGTTCTGACTCTATATCTCGACTATAACCTCTATTAGGAAAAAGGGTTATGTCTGACTTGTTCACATTAATAGCCCCTGAACTATAGTATGTGTAGTAGATTCTCAAAGAATATTTGTGGAAAATAGTGAAGAAATAACAAATGATTTTTGAATGAGTAAATAGCATTGAAAAAATTGAATGTCATAAGTCATGTGTTGGTTTTTTTTTTTCTCTCTTAGGCTCTAACTGTTGTTCTTGCCCAAAAGGGTGGATTGGGTACCACTGCAACTGCTACTTCTTTTCTGGTGAATTAAAAACCTGGAAAGAGAGTCGTGATTTCTGTGTTTCTCAGAATTCCAGTCTACTTCAGATTGAAAACGGAGATAAATTGGCATGTATTTAATTCTGTTTTCCTACCTTTTCTTTGACCTAGGAAAATATGCTACCTAAGTAAGCTGAATACTTTGTTTGTCTTTAATTATAGTAAGTGGATTGTTATTATTTGAACTAATGACTTACTAATTTGCTATATCTTGAAACAATCATTATAAAACCTACATAAAATTTCTCAAAGATTTATATTATAGGAATAAAAATCAAGTTACATTCCAGATAAAGCACAAGGAACATTTTAGAGGTAATTCAAAGAACGAATAATAGGCCATTATTTTTATTCAAAGACTAATAAAATAACTTCATAATTTTTAGTTCATTAATTAAATTTATAATTTCTTTTGTAATTATATCTTTTGTCATCACTCTGGGATATAATGTGTGATAAGTACGGAGAGTATGATCAAAAAATTACCCAATTTAAGAAAAAGTGAAAAATTTCTATAGCTGCATGAAGAACCTGTCCTGAGTATAAGTTAAGTAGACTATATCTATGAAATATATCCTCAAGATACTGTTGATGTGGGATCAAATTTGATTTAATCTTCTTTGGAGGAGGTGTTCCATGAAAACTCTTACTTCCCTCTAATGTCTTATTCCTTTAAGAAGTGATATTTTGTGGCATTTATTTCTATATCTTAAATGAATATTTGTGGAAATTAGGGAATAAATAACATAAGGAAGAAAAGGAAGAAATATGAGGCATGTGACTATACTTTCTAAACTGGACATTAAAAATTATTTCAGTTTGTATGATTAAAAAGCTAAATCTGATGCTGACACTTTCTTCAAAGTACATTATTCCCAGAATAGATTCAAGTTTGATTAATGTGTTTGTCTTTGTTTTCAATCAGTATTTTATGAGCTCCAGTAAATATTTTTACTGGATTGGACTCTCTTACCATAAAGAATGTGATGCCTGGTTGTGGGAAGATGGCTCCAGTGTCTCCCAAGATCTGTAAGTTTCTGGCAGCCAAGTTTCCTTTTAGTTCTTTCTTTCTTTTTTTTTTTTTTTAAGGTCTTTTTAGTTGAGTTTGTTTTTTTTTTAAGATTTTATTTATTTGACAGAGAGAGAGAGAGAGAGAGGGAGGGAGAGCACAAGCAGGGGGAGCAGCAGAGGGAGAGGGAGAAGCAGGCTTCCCGTGGAGCAGGGAGCCCGATGCGGGGCTCGATTCCAGGCCCCTGGGATCATGACCCGAGCCGAGGGCAGACGCTTAACGACTGAGCCACCCAGGTGCCCCTCTTTTTACTCTTTTATGAGTTTATCTATAGATCTCACCAGAGACTGTAACATTTGGGAGCACTGTAGCTAGGATAACCTGTCTAAGGCATGAAAATACAGAAAAGAAAGGAGATCTAACAATTTTAGTTCCATCTAGATTATCCAAATTTATGCTCAACTGACATGAAGTTAGTGTACTTGTGACCATTAAACAGCTTTTGATTTTTTTTTTTTTTTGCTTTGTATAAGCACTTGGATGAGTATGTGCATATACAGATGCTTACCTTCACAGAAGCTCTCCAGGGAAAATAACATATTTATTATTTTTTTTACTCTTCTTGAGCCTGTTATTTTTCAGTATACTCCCATGTTTCAAATATTCTGAGGTTATTTTCTGTATATTTGTAATCTTTAATTCTCATTTTCATTCATAAACATTGGACGTGCAGCATCAGACAATGACGAATCTTATGCTTGGATTTCTTTTCCCAGGCTAGATTATCCAGTACATTTTTAAACAAAATAGAGGTATACCATATATCAAAACCATTAATAACAACAGCAAAAACACAAAATTCTTGGCCTTAATGCTGTTGATTATTGGGGCAATAGCTGAGGTTTTGTAATACTGTGCTCTGAAATTGTGAAAACATGGCTCTTGAATAAAAATCAATTGACTCAATATATTAATATCTCATTCAAGTGCTTTAAAAAATTCTATCATTTAATTAAAAAACACAATCCCTAGATATTCTCGTTTCCTTTTCTCATATGTTAACATTTTATTTTTCATTACAGATTGCTATTAGTTCAAAAATTAAGTCCGGAGAAATGTGTAATGTATAACGCAAGACAAAGTGTTTTGGATGAACCCTGTGACGATAAATATCGTTTTATATGTAAACAAAAAGTTATTTAGTGTTTCTTGGAGTGGAAGGGGTGGGTGGTGAAGATTCAGTAGTATAAGAGAAAAAGTCCTTATACTTACTACTTAACATTCATTAAGATTGCAAGATCAATGAGGAGAATAACTTTACCTCTTATATTATTGCTAATTATCTACTTCTGGGATCTGTAAAATGTTTCAAATCAAGTCTTGTGATACAATTTTCATATATTTGAAATAATGTTTTAAAATTGGTGAAATTTGTGCACCTATATCTGTAATAACAATGCATCAAGGTAAAAAATTTCAGGACTGTTGTAATTTAATGCATATGTTCAATATTAAATTGAACAATTTATGCATATATTCTTGTAAATTTTCTTTGCAGAAATTCAAATAAAATAATTTGCATCAAATGACCTATATCAATGTCATTTAAGTTCTTTGTAAGGCATAGTAAATTGGAAGTCCCATCTTCATTTTACTTTTCTGGAACTTAGTTCTTTCTAGATATCTATATATCTATATGTTTTAATTCAGAGCTTAAAGTGTCATATGACAGCTTCCTCATGTGTATCATCAGACTTTAGAGGGGAACATATTTGTGTTCTTCTCTTGATGGTGCTGAGTTCTGTAGAATAATTTTGAATCTTTGTCCAAATAGTGGTTCCCATGTGATTGTTTTTAGCTTTTGCAAGGGTAAATGGAATCCAAGCCTGATCACATAAATTTGCAATACTTATTTTTCTATCCTACACATCTTTCTTGCCTTATGGTTATCCACCAGTAAAAAGTCACTGAGATGTAAATTGAAGATCTTAATCTCTAATCAACCCCAAGCCTTTTTCCTAAAAGTTAGGTGTGAAATACTGAACAATTCCCTTTTTCTGTCGGGGGAGGGAGCAACCCATTTAACTGAGGGGCTTCTGACTGTGTCAGAGAAGGGTGGGAACATAGTACGGTCTGATGTCTGTGACCTGGATGGGGTTTTCCTAATATCACAGATATCAAAAGCCAATTCCCTTTTTTAAAACTATTGCATATACATCTTTAAAAATTTATATTGACACATCTTTTTGTTTTATATTTCAATTAAATTATAATAATTAAGAACCTCAATTTGATTTTTAATAAAGAGCCAAGAAGAGAAAAAGCCCTGTGTTTTAGTTCTTAAAATATAAGTATAATAAGGGGCACCTGGGTGGCTCAGTGGGTTAAGCATCTGTCAGCCTTGGGCTCGGGTCATGACCCCAGGGTTCTGGTATCGAACCCCACGTCAGGTTCCTCGCTCAGCGGGGAGCCTGCTTCTCCCTCTCCCTTTGCTGCTACCCCTGCTTGTGCTCTCTTGCTCTTTCTCTCTCTGTCAAATAAGTAAATAAAATCTTAAAAATATATATAAGTATAATAAGACTACAAACTGCACTCTTCACATTCTTGTATGAAGATTAGGAAAAATGCACTTAAGTGATGTTATGAAAACTACAAGACAATCTAAATCAAATGTTTAACTTGGGCTAGGAGGACACACATTATACTTTCTGGATATTTAAACTGTTTTGGTTTTGGGGCGCCTGGGTGGCTCTGTCGGTTAAGTCTCTGACTCTTGATTTGGCTCAGGTCATGATCTCATGGTCTTGGGATCAAGCCCCATGTTGGACTCCACACTCAGCAGGGAGTCTGCTGGAGATTCTCTCTTTCCCTCTCCCTCTGTCCCTCCTCCCCACTCTCTAAAATAAATAAATAAATATCTCTAAAATGTTTTGGCTTTGTTGTCCATGTAAATTAAAAATAGTATATTTTTAATGAAATTAAAAAATAGAGATAAACATAATGAAAATTAATAGTTTTCAATCCCAACTATCCCATCTCCCTGTTCTCTTCTCATAAGGCGATTTCCTCTTGGTTTTTTGTTTGCTTTTCTATTTGGGGTGGTTTTCTCTGAAGTGAACCAAGGATGGTCTATTTTTTATAATTTTGTCCAGAATGAATCTCAAGTGTTTTCATTTAGCCACAGCCAAGTATACCTTCAAATTGTTACTTTTCATATCATCACCCTATGCGGTGCCCAGAGCCCTATCTGCCTTTATTCTGAGAACTCGTGAACATTCATTAAGATTGCAAGATCAATGAGGAAACAGAAGGTGCTAAATATGATGAATTAGATCTAATTTCAGACAGTCATCTATGTAAAAAAAATTGTCTCTACTGAGAGAGGAAAATTCCTGTAGCCTCCCATTATAGCTTAGGTGGTTTTTTCAATTCCCATGTAATCTCAGGATATTTATGATGGAAACTCCTGGATTGAAAAGAAGATACTAGTCCTCCACATTAGGGAGCCTTTCTCACAGCATGATCCCATCATATTAGTGACACTGAGTCCATGACCATTAGACCCATTTTATTTTAATTAGTCTTCCTCCTACTCTTACCTGCATATAACCTTCCTTCACCTTGAAAATATCTTTGTCATCGTTGGGATAGGAAAGACTTCTTTTATATAAAGGTCTTCCTATTAAATATCTCTTTTCTCTTCTAACATGATTTCTGATATATTTTTCTGGGGAGAAATGTTATTTTTCTTTTGTTCTTTTTTTGTTGTTGTTGTTATGAAATGGGCTAATGCACATGGAAGGATCTAGTTGAGTGAATATCTCAGTCTTGAATGTGAAACTAATGAAAGAGGGTGAGGGAATGTCCACCCCCCAGTAACAAAATAATATTGCCAAGAGTTAGCTTATCCTTCCTTAATTTTATCCTGTTACCTAAGTGTATTACTCTGAATGTATTGGTGCATGACAAATTATGATAAATTTAGAAACTTAAAACAGCACATGTTTGTATGTCATAGTATCTATGGATCAGGAGCTGAGCATGGCTTAGACCTCAGCTCAGGGCTTCACAAGGCTAGAATCAAAGTCGTGGCCACATTGAATTCTCATCTAAAACTGAGTCCTCTTCCAAGTTTATTCAGGCTGATGGCAGAATTTAGTTCCTTGTGGTTGTAGAACTGAGATCCTTGCCTCCTAGTGGCTGCCCCTCTTTATAGATGGTCACACCATGGATGCTTGCTTCTTCAAGGCCAGAAGGAAAGCACTCCTTTCTCTCTCACCTCTAGAGTCTTTTTTAAGTATGCAACTGATTAGGTCAGCTGTACCTACAATATTTTCTTTTTGATTAACTGAAAATTGATTAATTTAGAACCTATGTTACATCTGGGAAATAGCGTAATCTTTCCATTTAACGTAATCTAATCACAAAGCAACATCCCATCATCTTCATAAATCCCACTGAAATTCAAGGGCACATGATTATACATATGTACACCAGGGCATGGGAATTTTGAGGTCATCTTAGAGCTGCCTACCATACCAACATATTCCTTAAAAATATGCTGTAAGTGCTGCTACATAGTTTATTGAATTTAAACATTGCCTTTTGATTCTTGGTAAGATAACTAAGAATTGAATTCATATATGCCAGGACAAATAATACTTTAAAATTTTTTTTCCAATGTATTAATTCTTAGTTCCTCCACTACTGACATCTAAGTTTGCTTATTAAAGACAAAGTTTTTGTACAGCTGGATTGAGACAGCTCTTTGCTTATCTCCAGGGATGCTTGAGAGTTGATTTTTGACTCTTGGCTATGTAGGGCAGTGAGCTAGCTAACTAAGTAACTAAGTCAGTTAACATAAAAACTAACTAGCATAAAAACTAATGGTAAGTTTTTTAAAAGTTCAAACTTCCTGTGTGGAACCTAGAACCAATTTGTTTATTTATAACATACTTGAGATAATTAGTTATATTTCCTGTCTCTACCATATAACCAGACTATGCAGGAAACTTCTGTCTGAGCTCTCCTAAAACCAAGTTTTTGCATATAAGAATCAGCACAAATATCAGCAGTTTTATTCAGGGATGAATCATGCCTTTGTAGAAGTAAGAATATTGGGAAGCTTTTTCCTACATGGTTTTTTGGTCCCCAACTGCTTATTTGAATTTTCTCCTGCTGTATTATATTATGTGCCTTTTTAAAAAGCCTTATATGGGTATGCTTACTAAAATCTTATGATTTCTTTCAATTATCTAAACCTGAAAATCTTTGGAACATTTATCTTTTTTTAAGATTTTATTTATTTATTTGTCAGATGGAGAGAGAGCACAAGCTGGGGGAGTAGCAGGCAGAGGGAGAAGCAGGCTCCCCTCTGAGCAAGGAACCTGACATGGGACTCAGTCCCAGGACCCTGGGATCATTACCTGAGCCAAAGGCAGACAGTTAACCAACTGAGCCACCCAGGCGCCCCTCTTTGGAACATTTAAACCCCCTTTTTCATTTCTGTAATTTTGGACTTTTTAAATTTTTTCTCTTTATGTTTTAGTGTAGTAGGAGTTAGAAAGCCTTCTCTGAAGAGCTGGATGGTAAACATTATCAACTTCGTCAGCCAATCTCTGTTCAACTATTCAACTCCACCATGGTAGTGCAAATGAAGACATTGATAATACATAAATGAATGGTTTGGCTGTGTTACAAAAGAACTTCATTTATAAAAACAGATGGTGGGGTAAATTTAGTCTGTAAGTCATAGTTTGCCAACCCCTGCCAAAATGGCTAAAATGAGAATATGTAGGCACGAACCCTACTCTCCACGTTGCCTCATCACATCTTAGCAGTTGTAAATGTACTTATTAATTTTACTGTACAAAACCAGTTGTGTCTTTCCAGCTCATTGTAAAAGGTAAAAATCCATAAAGTATATGTGTCGGCCAACCTGCAGTGTGTCTGGCAATGATCTCATCTTCTGGTGTTCATACCTTTGTATAATTTCCTTCCACATTGTACCAGGGTTGATCTGTGTCACCAATAGAATACAGTGGGGATCATAATATGCCACTTCTAAGGCTAAATCATAAAAGATAGCATGGCTTCCTCCTCTTTTCTCTCTCGCACATCACTTGATATAGGGGATGCCAACTACTGTATCATGAGAAACCCTGTTGCAAGGACAGTGTGACAATGAACTAAAGTATTTTATGCATAGTGAGCAAGGAAACCAAGTCCAACGTCAGGTAATGAGACTTCCTCTTCCTTGACAGCTTCTAACTCTCCAGCCTTAGACAAACCTTCAGACGACATAGTCCCAGCCAGCATCTTGATGGAAACCTCATGAGAAACCTTGAACCAAATTCATTCTGCTAAGTTGTTCTAAGATTCCTAACCCTCAGAAAGTGTGTGATATAATACCTGTCTATTTTTAAGCTACTAAGTGTTGGAATAATGTATTACATAGCAATAGATATTTCAGATTTTGGTACCAGAAGAAACCATAAAGAAACAAACAGAGTACTTGAACCATGACAGTGGATGGAAGCTGGGAGGCCTAGAAAGACCAAAACCTTCTGCCTGCACCTTTTTCCCCCTCCCACGCCCAGCCTGAGCCCCCACCAGCTGGCAAGTCCAAGCCAGGCTTACTTGCCTTCATTTTTAGAGACACTTTTCCATTCACTGTAAATTTACTTAATTTTTTAAAAGATTTTATTTATTTATTTGAGAGAGAGAGAGAGTGCGTGAGAAGCAGGCTCCCCCCTGAGCCAGGGGCTCAAAGTGAGGCTCCATCCCAGCACCCTGGGATCATGACCTGAACCAAAGGCAGATGCTTAACCAACTGAACCACCCAGATGCCCCTACTCACTATAATTTTAATTGTTCACTTTGGAAAATTTGGGAACCAAAAACCAGATACAAGCAAAAAGTGAATATGTGTATAAGACACATGTCTGTACACATAAATTAGTACACATGTGTATATGCAGGGGTTAATGTTTGTCCACCCTTTATTGTGAAATACAACACACTTACAGTGCATGAAGCAGAAGGCGTGTAGTTTAGCCAATAGTCATCACATGCCTGCCATGCCACTGAAGACCCCAGAGACGGTCCTTTGGGATCACCCGCTATGCTGTCCAGTGGCCCCCATCCTGATTTTGGGCATACCATTTCCTTGTTGTTCTTTGTAGTTTATAAATATGTATCCCTCAACAGGTTAGTCTGGCTTAATTTTGAGCTATATGTGAATAAAATGACCCATTTATATTAAAAAAAAAATGATGGAAGGTTTCTAGTGAG